TTCACATTGCTCCTCATCATTAACCTTACCATTACCATTACCATGTCCATTATCATTACCATTACCATTACCATTACCATTGCCACTACCACTACAACTACCACTACCATTACCATTACCTTTACCATTACCATTCCCATTCCCATTCCCACTACCATTGCCATTGCCAGTACCAGTACAATCGCCATTGCCAGTCCATTCCCATTCCCATTCACATAAACCCTTACCATTACCTTTACCATTACCATTACCATCACCATGGCCATTACAATTGCCATTGTCATTGCCATTGCCATTGCCATTGCCATTCCCAATCCAATTACCATTACCATTACCATTACCATTACCATTGCCATTGCCATTGCCATTACCATTACCATTACCATTACCATTACCTTTACTTTTACCTTTACCTTTGCCTTTACCTGTACCCTCACCCTTATAATTCCCATTTCCGTTGCCACTACCACTACCATTTGGATTCCCATTCCCATCCCCATTCCCATTCCCATTCACACTACCATTACCATTACCATTACCTTTACCTTTATCTGTCCCTTTACCTTTACCATTACCATTACTATTACCATTATCATGGCCATTACAATTGCCATTGTCATTGCCATTGCCATTCCCATTGCCATTACCATTGCCATTACCATTACCGTTGCCACTGCCATTGTATTGCCATTGCCAATCGCCACCCCGTTACCATTACCATTACCGTTACCATTACCATTACCATTACCATTACCAGTACCATTACCACTGTCATTACCATTGTCATTACCATTCCCATTACCATCAGCCACTACCAAGACCATTGCCATTACCAATAGCATTACCAACACCATTGCAAACCCCATTGCCATTACCATGACCATTACCATTACCGCTGCCGTTACCATTACAATTCCCATTCCCATCACCATTGCCATTACCATTACCGTTACCAGTATCATTACCATTACCATTACCATTACCATTACCATTGCCATTATCATTACCACTACCACTACCATTTCCATTCCCGTTCCCGTTCCAATTACCATTACGATTCCCATTCCACTTCTCACTCCCATTCCCATTCCCATTACCTTTACCATTACCATTACCATTACCATGACCATGACCATGACCATGACCATGACCGTTACCATTGCCATGGCCATTGCCATTGCCATTGCCGTTGCCGTTGCCATTCCCATTGCCATTGCCATTGCCATTACCGTTGCCATCGCCATTGTCATTGCCATTGCCAGTCGCTAGCCCGTTACCGTTGCTATTACCATTACCATTACCATTACCGTTACCGTCACCATTACCATTCCCAGTACCATTACCATTACCACTGTCATTGCCATTACCATTACCATTGCCATTGCCATTGCCATTCGCCACTACCATTACCATTGCCAGTCGCCACTACCATTACCATTACCATTACCATTGTCATTGCCATTCGCCACTACCATTACCATTGCCAATACCATTACCATTCCGACTCCCATTCCCATTCCCAATACCAATACAATTACCATCACCATTACCATTACAATTGCCAGTGCCATTACCATTACCATTACCATTACCTGTACCTCTACCTTTACCTTTACCCTTACCCTTACCATTCCCATTTCCGTTACCACTACCACTACCATTTCCATGTCCGTTCCCATTCCCATTCCCGTTCCCATTCACATTCCCATTCCCGTTCCCATTCCCATTCACCTTACCATTACCATTACCATTGCCATTGCCATGGCCATCCATTGCCATTGCCATTCCCATTGCCATTGCCATTGCCACTGCCATTACCGTTGCCATTGTCATTGTCATTGCCATTGCCAGTCGCTACCCCGTTACCATTACCATTACCATCACCGTTACCATTACCAGTACCATTACCATTACCTCTGTCAATACCATTACCATTAGCATTGCCATTGTCATTGCCACTAGCCACTACCATTACCAGTGCCAATACCATTTCCATTCCCATTCCCATTACCATTCCCATTCCCAATACCATTACCATTATCATTTCCATTACCATCACCATTACCTTTACCTCTACCGTTACCTTTACCCGTACCCTTATCATTCCCATTTCCGTTACCACTACCACAACATTTCCATTCCCGTTCCCGTTCCCATTCCCATTCCCATTCACATTCCCATTCCCATTCCCAATCCCATTACCATTACCACTGCCATTACAATTACCATTGCCGTTGCCATTGCCTTGGCCATTATGATTGCCATTGCCATTACCATTGCCATTGCCATTGCCATTACCATTACCATTACCGTTGCCATTGTCATGTTCATTGCCATTGCCAATCGATACCAAGTTACCATTACCATTACCGTTACCATTACCATTATCAGTACCATTACCATTACAACTGTCATTACCATTACCATTGTCATTGCCATTGCCATTGGCCACAACCATTACCATTGCCATTACCATTACCATTACCATTACCATTACCATTGCCAATGCCATTACCATGACCATTACCATGACCATTACCGCTGCCATTACCATTACAATTCCCATGTCCATGACCGTTACCATTACCATTTCCCTTACCATTACCATTACCATTACCAGTGGCATTACCATTACCACTACCACTATCATTTCCATTCCCGTTCCCGTTCCCATTCCCACTCCCATTCTCATTCCCATTACCTTTACCATTACCATTACCATTACCTTTACCATTACCATTGCCATTACCATTACCATTACCATTGCCATGGCCATTACCATTGCCATTGCCATTGCCATTGTCATTGCCATTCCCATTGCCATTGCCATTGCCACTACCATTACCATTACCGTTGCCATTGCCATTGTCATTGCCATTGCCAATCGCTACCCCGTTACCACGATCATTACCGTTACCATTACCAGTACCATTACCACTGTCATTACCATTACCATTACCGTTGCCATTGCCATTGCCATTGCCATTGCCAGTCGAGGATTCCAGTAGGAATCATTCAGTGGAGGGTTTCAGTAGGAATCCACATGTGGAGGATTTCAGTAGGAATCATTCAGTGGAGGGTTTCGATAGGATCCTTTCTGTCGAGGATTTCACTGTGAATCCTTCTTGTGGGGGCGTTCAATAGGAATCCTTCTAGGGGGGAGGGCAGACGTGGCCAGGTTGCATTCCTTCCTTTTTTTTCTCCTGGTGTCCCCCCCCCCAGAGAATTGTTTCTGGGGGGGGGACACCAGGAGAAAAAAAAGGCAGAGAGGGAGAAGGAGGAGGAGCGGGAGGAGGAGGAGGAGGCGGAGGAGGAAGAGGAGGAGGAGGAGGAGGACGACACAGAGCAGATTCTGCACAGGAGCAGTCGCGAACTCAGCGCGAAAGCCTCGCGCGCGCACGCTTTGGACCCACAGGGACTCCACAATCCCCCGTTCTCGAGGGGGAGGGGGGGGGAGGTCTGGCTCCGAACCTCTGCTTCATGCCAGTGCTTGCCACATTGCGTCCTAGGGGAGACCCCACCTGCTCGAAACAGGCGCCCCAAACAGCCTAGATCTACTCCAGTGGGGGGGAGGTGCGAGAGCACGCGCCGATAGGCAAAACAATGAATAAGTAAACGATCCCCACCAGACTATTTTTTGTACATGTTTGAATAACCACCTTGAGCAGAAGAAGAAAAAACGGCACACACATAAACTGTTGGGTGCTCCGCGCGGATCTCTTGGATCCGCGCTTGGGCCCCCTGGCGCGCGGAGCGCGCCAGTCCCAGGCGCCGCCGAGGGGGGGCCACAGCGAGGACCCAAGAAATCCGCGCGGAGCGCTAAAGGTTTTATGCTTACAGCGGGGGCCCGACCACAAGAAGCCTTCCACAAGAAACCCAACCCTTAGACCCCAGGACGTCCACGGATTTGTGGTGTGGGAACGTCGCGCATTCCCCCTACAGGCGGATTTCTGACGAAAACTGAAGAATAGTCAAGAAGATACTCCAGAATGCTCAAAACTAGTCGAAAAATCGTCCCAAGACTATTTTTGACTATTTTCAACTTTCCCCCTGTAGACGGACAGGCCCGACTGAATTTTATGTCTACGATGCTCTGTCTTCTCCGATGGAAGCCACCTGCGCCTCCACCTGCGCCTCCCTGGCACACCTCGAGGACACTGGAGGCCTCCCAGATGGGGTCGGAGCAGCTGGGGTCGGAGCATCGCGCCGCATCGGCGATGCACCGGCGATGCATCATCGGCGATGCATCATCGGCGATGCATCGGCGATGCACCGGCGACGCATCGCCGACGGCGGCGATGCATCGGCGACGTCGACGTAAAGCCAATCGGGCTCCACATCGAGCCGCATCGCCGATGCATCGGCGATGCGGCGCGAGCCTCCGACCAAATCTGTTCCGACCCCATCTGGGAGGCCTGGAGACACCCCCACCCCACGTGATGCGAAGATCCCTCCCTCCACCTGATCCGCCTCATCTTCCTCCCCATTCTCCTCCCTCCTCCTCCTCCTCCTCCTCCTCCTCGTCCTCCTCCTCCTCCTCCTCCTCCTCCTCCTCCTCCTCCCCCCCCATCCTCAGATTGGCTCCGCGTGACGGACCCAAGTCGCCTACCCCTGGCTTTGGAGATGGGCGGCCGAGGCCGCGGCGAGCGGAGCCACCGCGGAGAAGCACCACGAGCGAGCGAGCGAGCGAACGTCTGCGAGCCGAGGAGCAGGATGAGCCAGGAAGGAGTGAGGAGGAGGGAGGGAGAAGGGAGGAGGGAGGAGGGAGGAGGGAAGGAGGGAAGGAGGGAGGGAGGAGGGAGGTGGGAGGAGTGAAGGAGGGAGGGAGGAGGGATGGAGGGAGGGAAGGAGGGAGGAGGAGGCGGGATGGGAGGAGGTAGGAGAGAGGGAGGGAGGGAGGCCGAGGCCGCGGCGAGCACAGCCGCCGCCGCGCAGAAGCACCACGAGCGAGCGAGCGAGCGACGGCGGGCCGCGGCGGCGAGGAGCGCGCGGCGGGAGGCCTCCCGGACCTCGGACCACGGCACGCCCAGGGCCAGGCCCGGGGCGGACCTGCTGAGAGCGGCCCCGCGTTTGAGGGCCCTGGTCCTGAGAGGGCGGGACGCGAGGGCGGCGAGGTCCCCCCGAGGGAAGGGAGGGGAGGAGGGGGCGGAGGGGGAGGAGGAGGGGAAGGAAAGGAGGAGGAGGAGGAGGAGGAGAAGGAGGAGGAAGAGGAGGAGGAGGGGGGAGGAGGAGGAGGAGGAGGAGGAGGAGGAGGAGGAGGAGGAGGAGGGAGGAGGAGGAGGACGAGGAGAGGAGGAGGAGGAGGAGGGGACGAGGAGGAGGAGGGGGAGGAGGAGAGGGAGAGGGAGGGGGAGGGGGAGGAGGAGGAGGAGGAGGAGGAGGAGGAGGAGGAGGAGGAGGAGGAGATGAGGAGGAGGAGGAGGAGGAGGAGGAGGGGGAGAAGTAGGGAAAGAGCGAAAGAGAGAGAGAGAGAGAGAGAAAGACTGCAGGAGGATCGGGTCCTTGGCTTTCTCCCCGCTTCTTCTCCCCCCCCTTCCGATCGGCGGGAACGCTGGGCGAAAGCAGCCAAGCCCCTGGGGGGGGGGAGGGCGAGGGAAAGAGGGGAGGAGAAGGGGAGGGGCATAATGGAGGGAAGGAGGGGGAGGACGACGGGAGGAGTGGACGGGGGACGACGAGGGGGAGGACAAGGGGAGGAGGGGGGTCATAATAGAGGACGAAGAACGGACCTCATAAAAAGTACCCAGGCAAGCGAAGCCGTTTAGCAAACGTCCTTGAGGAAGGCATCGAACAGAGCAGGGCGGTCCAGGCAGAGCCCGGGCTCGCTACACAAACGCCAACTGTGGAGCTCGGGGTGGGCTGTCCTCTGCGAGCCGTACGGCAGGACGGGGGGGGGGCCAACAGTTGAGCCCGAGATGGAGGTCCCGCGCTGTGATTAAGTCGGGCCTGTCCCTCTACAGGAGGAATCTTCCTAAATAACAATGAGTCTGGGGACGATGTTCAGAATAAGTTTGGGGTATTTGTTTTGAATAGACTCTGGTTATGTTTAGTTTTCGCCCAAGCTCCGCCTGTAGGAAAAGACGCCCCACCTAAATGAGGGGCAACGATAGGGGGGACCGGCATAGGGGGAGACGCATCGATCTGGAATCGGCGATACATCGCCGATAGATCGGCGAAAGGCCTGCGATCGTGAATCCGAACCTTCTTGGGCAGGTTGGGGCTATCGAGCCCCTATCAGCGATCAATGGGCGATTGGGGGTCGACGCATCCCCCCCCCCATGCCTATCCCCCCCCTATCTCGCTGCCCTCGACTACAGTGCGGGCGCTGCCGCGAGAAACTCTCGCAAAAAATCCCAGCCCTGAAAACCCGCCGCGCGCGAAGTGCACCTGAGCGGAAACCCGGAGCACCCTGAACAAAGCAGCTTCTTCAACGGCTGCGGGAAGTCACCGCCACGGGATTTGCCACATTTCTGAAATTCGGTGGCACCGCTCACGCAGATCGGCGGGGTCAGGGTCCAAAAACACAGGGGATGTGCCACATTTGTGAAATCTGCTGGCACCTCTCACGCAGATCGCTGGGGTCAGGGTCTAATTGCCACAGTTCTGACATTCGGTGGCACCCCTCACGCAGATCGGCGGGGTCAGGTTCCAAAAACACAAAGGATGTGCCACATTTCTGAAATTCGCTGGCACCCCTCACGCAAATCGGCGGGGTCAGGTCAGGGTCCAAAAACACAAGGGATTTGCCACATTTCTGCACACTTCGCGCAGATCGGCGGGATCAAGATCCAAAAACACATGGGATTTGCCACATTTCTGAAATTCGGCGGCACCCCTCACGCAAATCGGCAGGGCCACGACGTCTTACCAATCGCCAGGTGTGGTAACCCCTCTGGTCATCCATTGGTTTTGCTCATGACGAGTCGGCCTCGCATGAAGTTCCGATACTGCTTCACGGCAGCGCCCAGGCCTCATGACATAGCTCTTGCATAGCGCATTCTCCGAGAGAAGGGGCCGGCGGCAGGGGGCGAAGCCCTTACGGATACAATTTAAAAATCGTCCCCTGCCGATGTTTGACTAGTTTTGAATGTTCCTCCTGCAGAGGGACAGGCCCGACTTAAGGCTAAGCTGCGACGGCAGGGGGCCCGTGGGCTGCGACGGCGGCGTCACGGGCGCGGGTGACCCGCCCAGCTGGGCCTCGCGGTCCGAAGGCAAAAATCCAGGGACGCCAACGAAGAGCCCAGGAGCTCCTCCACTACAGTTCGGCGACTCCGAAGGGTGTGGTTTGCAAAGGGTGTGGTTTGCAACTGGCACCCCGAGGGGCGCCCTGGGGGGCGGGCAAGGAGCTCGACAGCGCTCTCCGCCGCGCCCCGAGGAGGCCCGACGAGGACAGCGTCGTGCCCCCGAGGCCCCGACGGTGCCGAGCGCGAACCACACCCCAATGTAACCATACCCCTTTTAGTCGCCGAACAATGGAGGCCAGTCCACAAGAAACCTCCCACAAGAAACCCAACCCTGAAACCCCAGGGCGTCCACTGATCTCTGGTGTGGGAGCGCCAGGCTTTCCAAAGTGAAACCATCGCAACCCAGGGCAACCCAGAGGCGAGCAGGGTGTTTCCTGGCATGGGTCTCCACTGTATCAAATTAGCCCTACTAACTGTTCTGAACCTTGGCTCTCGCGATGAGCTTGGGCAGTTCAGTGGAAAAAACCAAATGACGGCTGGCAAGTAGGGTATCGCCATGATCGTGCTGGACTAGAATAGACGCCGATTTGGTGTCGATCCGCTTCATATACCCTGTCCGCTCGAATTCAGACAGCAAGCCTTCTCTGGCATCTTTCATTGACGCGCAGCATCATCAGCATGATCATCACCAGCAGCAGCAGCAGCATCATCATCATCATCAGCAGCATCATCATGACCATCATCATCATCATCATCAGCAGCAGCAGCATCATCAGCAGCATCATCATCATCAGCATCACCATCATCACCACCATCGCCATCATCATTATCAGCAGCATCAGCATCAGCATCAGCATCAGCATCAGCATCAGCACCATCAGCATCAGCATCAGCATCAGCATCATCATCATCATCATCATCATCATCAGCAGCAGCAGCATCAGCATCACAGATGGCACAATGGTGCACGAAGGGTGGAACGCGGGGAGGGAGGGGACAGAGGAATCAAGCAAGTGCTACGCGGAGCTCTGGCGACTGATCTGGAATCGGATCGACGACGTCGGAGTCAATGCAGTCGAGGTCCGCTGGATCACGTCGCACATGTCGAAGGCGGCAGCAGAGAGATTTGGCTACGAGTCACACTGGTATATAATGGCGATCCTCAAGCATATCAATGACTTCGGTTATCCTGATGCTTCGTCATTCTCTGACCATGCCAGGAGGAGAGTCTGGAATTCGGAGGCCCTGATTCTCGAGATTGTGCTGGGGGTGTAGTGTGTGCGGCATGGCCAGACCGGTTCGCTCTCGGCTGGTGCAGCTGCCTCGTCCTGGGGCTCCCCGCGTGGTTTCCCTGGCCCACCCCACCGACCGTCTCTGGCAGAATGGAGGTGTGACCTGGTGCGTACGCTGTGGAGTGTATGCCCGCTTGAAGGTCAAAGAAGTAAGCAAGGAGTGTCAGGACAAACCTGACACGGATGGGAAAGTGAAGGCCCTGAGGATTTTGAAGCAGGGCAAGGACCCGTCGAATTCTAAGAGGGGGGCGGGCGGTCACCCTTGTCCCGCTTGGGAGGCCATGGCGTTCCCTGATGTTGTTTTTCAGGGCAGGCGCCTTGTGTTAACGGGACGACTGCTGAGGAGCGCAAGAACACAAGACGAGGAGAAGGAGTGGGAGGAGGAGGGGGAGGGGGAGGAGGAAAAGGAGGAGGAAGAGGAGGAGAAGCAGGAGCGGAGGAGGAGGGGGAGGGGGGGAGGACGAGGAGGGGAACGGAGGGGAGGGAGGGGAGGGGAGGGGACGGGTCGGGAGGGGGCAGGAAAGAGGAGGACGAGGGGAACAGAGGGAAGGGAGGAGAGGGGAGGGGAGGATAGGGAAGGGGCAGGGAGCAGGAGCAGGAGGAGGAGGAGGGTGCAGTCAAGGGGGAAGGAGGAGAGAGGCGAGGGAAAGGCGGCGAAGCGAGAGGGGGCGGGCGCAGCTGTCCCCGTTGCGGTGCCCCGCAGGCCCAGCTGCGCGCCAAGCGCGCCTGGACGCGGCGCGCGCGGCGGGCGGGGCACGGCCGCTTCGGCCCGGTTCCCGTCGATCGGGGGGGAGAGAAGCGAGGAGAAACCTGAGGAACTACCTGGCCCTCACCCAGTCTTCCTCTCTCTCTTTCTCTCTATCTATATATATATATATACATGTGTATATATATATATGTATGTGTCTGTCTGTCTGTCTGACTGTCTGTCTGTCTGTTTCTCTCTCTCTCTCTCTCCTGTCACTTTCTATATATTTATATATATATACACATATGTAAATCTCTGTCTCTCTCTCTCTCTCTCTCCCTCTGTCTCTCTCTCTCTCTCTCTCCATCTGCATCCTCCTCCTCCTCGTGCTCCTCCCTCCCATCCTCCCTCCCCTCGGCAGCGACACTGATAAGAGAAGTGTGGGCACTGTTGGCTGTAGACGCAAGGACAAGCCCGAAGCGAACCCAACCGCAAATCACAACGCGCCGTTACACATCCCCCACCATTTCCTGCCACCCCCACCCAATCAAAACCAGGTGGTGCATCCGGCAGCCGAGCACGAATAACGATGAATATTGGGGGGCGGAGGAGAACGGCACCTCACGAATAAAAAGAACCGCATACGCACTCAGGATACGCCGAACGTCAACATCCGATCCTCGACCGGAGGGCGCCCGAGTGAGGGCCCTCCCGGAGGCCCCCGCACGGATGCTGCTCTGTGCGCTATGCGTGGCGAGCGGCCACTTCGGAGCCCCATCGCTGCCGCGCACGTGACTGATGGGCCTGTTTTCCACCCCCACCACAAGTTGAAGGAAGCTGGGAGGAGGAGGGCGAGGAGGAGGAGGACGAAGAGGGGGACGAGGAGGACGAGGAGGAGGACGAAGAGGAATGTTCGGTAATGTTCGGCTAGAGGACGACGCAAGTCCCTGACTCATTTGGCGCATCTGCTGCTGTCTGCATCTCGTATCGGCTTCGGTGGGCCCGAGGGGTGGGGGTACTTGCCCGCGCTAATTTTCGCTACTTCCCCTTGGCCGTGGGGAACACTCCTTAACCAACTGTCGGGGGTCGGTGATGCAACTCGATCCGCATTTGCTGCACAAGGTGAGGCAATACTTGCTCCAATACTGCAACGTGTGCGACGGGTGGAGAACCTTGCCGCCCCCCTTTTGGGGTCCACACAGAGGCTCGAACTCCAGAACGTGTTTGCACGAGCACGGGGTCACACACGCCTGGAAAAGCGATTCGATATTAGAGAACTGCGAACACTGCGTGCAATAAAACTTGGCACACACGACACCATCGATGGTCGGAGTCCCTTCTAACACGCGCCAGTTTCGGGAGGGGGGCAGGATCCTTGACACTCGGGCGTTCCACGGACCACGGAGCCGACAAAATCGCACACCCCAGGGCCCTTCGCGCACGGCGTCGGATCAGGTCGGCCTCCGAATCCTTCCTGTCGGTAGGGGGGTCAGAAATGATACAACTGCTCCACGCAACTTCGGCCATCGCGGAGGCCAGCGCATCAGCACATTCATTATCAAACGCGCGGAAGCTGTCTGCCTCCGTTCGGAGTGTCGCCTCCTCTTGGTGGGAGGCAACCCATTCAAGCAGCACATCCTCGGGCTCTCCGACTCGGAGTGCGGTCGCCACCCTGGCTTAAAGGTCAGTGTAAGAACCCCCAAGGCTCTCAAACCCAAACCGCTGACCTCTGGCCCAGGTCGAGAAGGATAGGGAGGTGGTCAATGGTAAACCTTAGTAGTCCGCCTGGGAGGAGCTCCAGGGCAGAGGCGAAGGCAGTTATCTCCGCGCGAGGCACCGTCTGCCTCCTCCCCTGGAGCGTGGTCCCGAAACCCCAGACCGACTTCCAGAGACGCCCTTCTGGCGCTAAGACAACAACACCAGCTCCGACCCTACGACGCCGAGGGTCATCAGCAAACCTCCCGCCCGACCCGTCCCCGAACGCGGTAACGTTACCTTCGGCGTCGCGAGGGATCGTGTCGATGTCTCCAAAATTGCTGGTCTCTGGGGGTCCCTCCCGGAATGTCGGAGTCGATACGTGTCGACATGGGACCCAGCGGAGCTAAAAGCTGGGAGAACTCCTTAAATTCACATGGGCCTGCCTCCCTCTCCAACTTATGGTGGTGGTGGTGGTGGTGGTGGTTGTGGTGGTGGTGGTGGTGGTGGTGGAAAACATTCCCACCTCGGCGGCGCGCAGAGGGTGGTAGGGGCAGGGGAAAAGGCTTCTTAGAAGGAGGCTGTTTCTTAGAGGGCGTCGGCCTTACATCTGCAGAGAAGGCCTGCGCCTTCTAAGAAGCAGGGGTGCTTCTAAGAAACCTTCCCCCCTCTCCCTACCCCCCTCCGCGCGTGGCTGACCATCAGTGACTGCGACCATGACAAGAGGATGAGGATGAGGATGAGGATGAGGATGAGGAGGAGGAGGAGGAGGAGGAGGAGGACCCCCTTCCCCTCCAACCTATGGTGGTGGTGGTGGACAACAGGCCCACCAGTGACTGCGACCACGAAGAGGCGGCTCCGTGGGCGCAGGCCTTGCTGGCACTGGCCCCCGGCGCTCATGGCGCCCCACCCCCGGGCCAGCTCGCCCGTGCGGCCAGCCAGCCAGCCAGCGCGCGAGCTGGCGCGACCTACGCGCGAGCCCCTCGGGCGCGGCGCGACCGACAAGCGCCTTCCGTGACTAAGCAACAAGCGCGTTCCACTACTCGCAAGGTAACTACTCGCAAATGGCCTGGATCCGCTGCGGGAGATGCACGATCCATTACATCACGGAATCCATGTTTCATTTTCTGACGTTTGCGAGTAGGCACTTTGCGAGTAGTGGAACGCGCTCGGTGAGTGACGTCCCCCGCGCCCTCCTGGCAAGCACCCCGAGGCGGGAACACCGCCGAGAACCGGCGAGGGCACCAGCACGCCCCGAACCCCGAACCTCGTCCCGGTCTCTCCCCTGTCGTCCGACCCGATGCTAAGAGGCCTCCCTTCGGCCGCACGCGTGTACGACTTGGGGTGACGCGAAGGGGGCGTCACAGAAGGGGATGGTCTGCTGGTGATGGGCCTGTTCCCCACCACCACCACCATAAGTTGGAGGGGGAGGGGTCCTCCTCCTCCTCCTCCTCCTCCTCCTCCTCCTCCTCCTCCTCCTCCTTCCCCTCCCTTTCCTCCTCCTTCTCCTCCCTCTCCTCCTGTTCCTCCCCCTCCTCCTCCTCCTCTCTCCTCCTCCTCCTCCTCCTCCTGCTCTTCCTGCTCCTCCTCCTCCTCCTCCTCCTCCTCCTCCTCCTCCTCCTCCTCCTCCCCCTCCTCCTTCTCCTCGTCCTCCAACTCATTCCCCCCTAAACCTTATGGTGGTGGTGGTGGTGAAAAACAGGCCCATCAGCTGGCGGTCGGTTGGGCCGCCCCCGAGCCTCGCCCCGCGGCCCTGCACCCGCGCGTCACCGAGCGTGACGCCTGCGGCCCAGCGGCGGGCGGGCCCCTCTGGGGGAGGTGGAGCGCCGCTTGCGCGCACCCTGGGCAGGAGGAGAAGGCAGCGGAAAAGGAGGAGGAGGAGAAGGTGAAGGAGGAGAAGGAGGAGGAGGAGTTTTTTTCCCCCCCCCCGAGGGGTAGAACAAACGTTTGTTTAACGGAAGAGGAAGGAGGCGGCCTCTTCCTCAGCATCGAGGGCGGGCCCTGGGGGCGGCGCCTCCTGGGCCTGTCCCCGAGGCCCCAGGGAGGGGGCCTCTTGGGCCGAGCGCCCAGACGCAGGGCCCCGAGACCCACCAGGAGGCCCCAGCAAAAGCGGGTTCCGAAAACCTCCTCCTTCCTCGCCCAGCTCCCTGGCCGCGACGCGGCGCCGCATGGCCTCCAGCGCTGGGATGAGCTCGCCCTGCTGAGCGGGGAGGTGTACAGCACGTCGCCGAGGTTGCTGCGTCTGCAGCAGCCGCAGGCGATCCACATCTGACAGGATATGGAGGACCACCCCTGGCGCACGCTCGGACTGGGGGTGGAGGCCTCTCATCATTCTGCCAAGACGACAACGCGTGGCAGAGGAAAACAAACGGCCTGGACATTCGTTCTCAAGTCGTCGACTGAGGCGCTCCGCACTATAAGCCCCGCATCGACGACAGAAGACCAGGGAGGGACCGCTCGAAAGACGAGTGAACACCAAAGAATGACCCATCCTCTCACGGCCCCTCAAAAACTGAAAGTTCGTACGCTTCCCAGGGCAGCCCCTCATCTCCAGCCTGGCCGCACACGCGTTGACTGCTCGGGCTTGGCAATCGTGACAGATGAAGCTACCCTGAGTGGCTGGGACCGCCGTCCAGGCGCGCCAGCGATGAGCTCCTATCTCTCGGGGTCGGGGAACCTTAGGGCGATCAGGGAACTGAGCGACAGGGGAGAGGGGCAAGACCGCTCCCACGACTCTCGCCGCAGCTCGGGCCCTGTCTATCAGCCGATCAAGCTCTTCGAGGCCCCCCTGACTATCCCGAGCACGGAGCAGCACAGCATTCTTAGCATAAAGGTCCGCCGCTCGATTCGCGAGACCGATTCGCCTCTCCGTCGACGGCAGAGCTTCGATGTGCTCTAGACTCCGATGAGCGGGCGTGTGAAACGCTTGACCAATGAAGGGGGCCCCTTCCAGCTCGAAGAATCCACGTCTGAGGCCAGCGTACTTCGAGCGGCTCGATAAAACCTGAGATTGGCTCTGATTGCGCATCCGAACAACGCCGAGACAATCAGAGTGAACCTGGACGGGCTGACGTACAACGAAAGCAGGCGCAATGATCGCCATCTGCACTGCAGCCTGAGGGGTCTGAGGCAGGGAAGGCCATGCAGGCCCTTGAAATCTAGCTACTATCTCCTCGGACCCCGACCGCATGTACACGCCAGCATAGGCCGCCCTCGAGAGCTCACGGATGGGGCTTCGCGCGCACGACCCATCCACGACGACGTCGACGACATCTCCCAACACCGAGAGGTCCTCAAGGGGTCGGCCATCCTGCCCAAACACGGCAGGATGCAGCTGGTCGGTCGGGGGCTGGAAGTAGCACGACGGATGCTTAAAGGCCAGACGGGTCCACAAAAGATCTTCGCGCCCCGCCTGGACAGCCTCAGCGATTATATCCGCGCTACACGTGCTCTCTCTGGCCTCGACCACCTCCGGGGCCTGACAGCACCACAGCCTATGATGGAGGCCATCGGCCCCGCCACACAAAGGACACTTCCCATCAGACTCATATCCAAGGGATTGCAAACGATCACTAGTGAACACCGCCTTAGTGAAACAGCTAGCTATGGCATACTTCTGTCGTGCACTATACTTCTTCGACCTGCACACGCACGAGCGCACTAAGCCAACGCACGCACGCGCGCCATCACCTTGCATGCCAAAGCTACGTGCCACGTCACGTTCATGCTGTCTCTGGACGGCCTCACGCAGGAGATGCTTGATGAGGGAAGGGGAGGTATACAGTAGAGAGAGCTCGGCTCCTCGATCGTCAATCCACTCCGAGAAGCTCTTAGGCCCCCAGCTGACCCTCTGGAGGCACATCAACATTCGAACGATCGGGCCCTTCGTCTTTCTCCAAGGCATCTCAGGTTCCCACTTGTCATGAACCTGCTGCAACATATCTGCGAGCTGCGTCATAGTGAAGAGAGAGAGCGCTTCTGCGCAACCGCCGTCTGCAAGCTCGTGGCTGCCCACTGCGCCGCGGGAGCCACAGCGGCATCAGCAACAGGGTCGCCATGAGGCACGCACTTCGCCACTAGCGAGGCCCCTCGATGCGAGGGCGCCTTGAAGCTGAGGAGCGTAGCACGAGCCCGTCTGAGCTCATGGTCACTCATGCCCAACACCGCACTGCCGTAAGACAAGGCTGGCTTCAAGCCAGCCGTGTGGATCTTAGACATCCGATGCTTTCCATGTGCCAACCATCTTCGAAATCGCAAGACTCGCTGACGTCGAAGCTTAAATTGCCGAAACCGAAGCCGCCGTTTCCGAAGCCCCCCTTTAGCCGACCGAGACTGTCCTGGAGCGAAGTCGACCCCGAGGTTGAGCGACGCCGACGTGACCATACCTTCAGGCAAGCCTCGAACGCGAAGTTGATTAGCCAGAGATTTCGCTAGTCCGACCGAGCTAACTATCGTAACTGCCTTCGACTCCGAGATATCCGCTTTTAGCTCCCGCTGAAACATGTCATGAAAATCGGCTGCTGCTGCAGGCACTGCTCGAAGTAGGCTAGCTTTGTCCCCCATCCTCAGTATCGTGTCATCGTCGATGCACGAGGATAAGCAAATCGTCGGGTGTCTCATCGTGAAAGCATCGACGGCCTCGAGCGCATACACCTTCACGAAAGCATCGTTGAAAACATCGCCTGCAGGGAGACCGCTGGAGGCAAAAAGAGCCACAGTGTGAAGAGCTGGACCTAGACGGGCAAGTCTGGGGCACCTCCACAGGTTGCACATAGTCTTAACGATAACCTTAGGGATACCACATCTATACGCTCTATCTCGTAGAAGTTCGAGCTGGAAAGATCCGTAGCACTTCTTCCCGTCTCACTGAACTCCCAAGACAACCTGATCCCTGGCATCCGCCACCTCCGAAAGGGCCGCTCGGGCCCAAACGCAAGCTTCTGCGCTCTTACCCGCTCCGAAGGCCCAGTAGTCCCTCTCCGGCTCAGCAAAGAAAGGGTCCAGCATGGGGCGGCGTAGCCTTTCCCAGACGCGAACAAAACTAGCGAGGAGTAGGACGGCGCGGCGCCCCCCTGCAGGCTTATCTATCAGCGGAAAAAACCATCCACATAAAATGTCGCGGGAAGAGCCCAAGCCTTTCCACCGCTTCGTACAGAATACTCAGGGTGGATATGCCAGCATCTCCCAGCAGACAGATGCGCCTCGGATGGAACCCATCTAAAGTCGACGCCGTGAACTGGCAAAACTTTCTGGAAGCACTGCGGATCTCATCAATCGACGCCCTCGGGAAGCACTCACGATCGGGTAATTCAGCCACAGGTGGGGAAATCGACGCATGCCACTGCGCCTGCAACGCCTCCGCCTCACTGGCAAGAAGATCATCTGGCCGACTCGAAAATACACCTGGCGAGCGTTCAACTATGCTGGGTCTCCAGATCTGCTGAAGCCGAGTGATTTTATGCATGAGCTTCGCTGAGCCTTTCAAGGCTTCGTCACACCACTGGTTCCACGTCTGTGTGCGCAGCTTGGCAGCTGTGCTGGTGGCATGCTCGAACTCCGTGACCATGAACGCTGAGAAGGACGACGCTCGATCCCACCATGGATGATCCAACTGCGACGGGTGCGATCGGAGTAGATCACGGAAAGCTTGTACCTGCGCATCAAGTCGGACATCCAATCCTTCTCCTGGATACTCTTCCGACAGGCACGCGCGATGTAGCTCAAGCCCAGCAGCATCCATATGCAAGACGGGGTCCTCCTTGACGTAATTCATGCCAAACGCGATATACCAACTGCCACCCACGACAAACTGCGACATCATCAGCAGCACGAAACTTGCGCCCAAGAACTGGCACCCATCGTCGAGCCAAGTATCTATCACGAGTGCCCGACTTCAAAGAGAAATCCAGCACCTGCGCAAGCTCCATTTCAGCGTCCTGCAAGAAAACGGTCCAGGCACGGTTGAGCTTCTGCCATGCCGCGCACACCTCATCGTGCTCAGCAGCATATACAGCATGTTCAGCCATCTCTCGGGCCGCCCTGCGCGACCGAGGTGCGCGGCGAGGACCGGTAGGTGGAAGAATGGGGGGCCGCACGTGCGAACAATCAACCAATTGCTTTAGCTCCAATACGCCAGGCCGAGGGTGGAGTCGCACAGCTCTGCGCGGCCCTCCACGCCACGACTGCAAGACTCGAACTTTATCAACCAAGCGTACCATATCATGAGAGCCAAGGAAGTAGCCGATCGTCGAGGCCGAACTCGACATGACGCAGGTGCGCCGCGCGGGGGCCACCGCGATCAATCCCGCCCTGCGAGTTTAGCCCGACCCCTTAAGCGCCTGAGGCTCCACATTCCAGTCAGCTCCCGCTAGGATGGGGCCAGGCGACTTAGACACGTTCGAGCCCAACATCTTTAATATATGCATGTTGGCCGCGTTCAGGCCTACTGCACAAAAGATGTACGCAGAGTGCACCGTGAGCTCGGGCCAGCCAGGGATGTCAACCTGGACCGAAATCAATCTGCCACGACAAATCTCGCCCCCAGTGGGATTCCACCTCAGGCCCAGTTCCAATCGAACAAAGACGGCCACCCCAGCAAAGTGCGAACCTCGAGTGCAGAAGGACTGCACAACATCCGATAACCAATAGCACGAGCTGCACGCTGAAGATCGGGGACCGCAGCCTCCGCCGTGCCAATCTTCTGCGCACATGCGATCAATGAGTTGGAAGCACGTAGTCGTTCAAGAAGTGCGGCGCGGCAATTACCATTGAACGACTCGAAAAGTGAACACTATCATCTGCAGGTGCGCCACGGAAACCTTTGTGCAGCGGTACCA